CTCTAGGGGAATAACGGTCACTTTTCGCGTTAAAGGCATAGGTTAAAGGTTTGTGATCAGTGAGTATCACAAAGTCTCTGCCTTGCAGTAAATGGTTAAAATGTTTAACAGCTAGATAAATAGCCAATAGTTCTCTACCGAAAGTGCTATATCGAGTTTGGGTTGGTTCTAGCTTCTTTGAAAAGAAGGCAAGTGGTTTGACCTCATTATTAACTCGCTGTTGTAGTACTGCACCTACTGCTGCCTGTGATGCATCTGTACACAGAATTAGTGTTGCTTCCGGATCAGGGCTTAAGTAGGTCAGCATGGTAGTAGAAGCGATTGCTGTTTTAGCTGCAGAAAAGGCATCTTTCGCTTGGGAGGGTAATGTGAACTTTTTGACTTTACCTTTTAACACCTCTGTCAAAGGTTGTAGGATGGCTGAGCAATGTGGAATAAAGCGACGATAAAAATTTATCATCCCCAAGAAACGTCGAAGTTTATTCCATGAGTCTGGTTCTGGAAAATTCTTGATGGCTTCTATTTTTGTATCCAAAGGTTTAATTCCACGTTTGTCGATCAAGTGACCTAAAAACTCTAAACTCTCAACTCCGAAAATACATTTGGATGGGTTAATCACTATGCCATATTTCTGAAATCTTTCGAATAATTGATGTAGGTGATCAGCGTGTTCATGGAGCGAACTGCTAGCTATTAAGACATCATCAATATACACGAAAACAAAATCTAGGCCTTTAGTGACCTCATCCATAAATCGTTGAAATGTTTGTGCGGCGTTCTTTAATCCAAAAGGCATTCTTAGAAATTCAAACAAACCAAATGGAGTAATGATGGCTGTTTTTGCAATGTCCTCGGATGCTACTGGTATCTGGTGGTACGCTCGCACAAGATCGATTTTAGAAAAAATTTGCTTGCCATGTAAAGTGAGAGAAAAATCATGTAAATGAGGGATTGGGTAGCGATCCGGTAATGTCAGGTTGTTCAATGATCTATAATCACCACAGGGTCGCCAATCTTGGTCTCGCTTGGGCACCATGTGGAGTGGGGATGCCCAGGGGCTACTTGACGGACGTATTATACCTAGCTGCATCATATGATCAAACTCAGCTTTTGCAACATTCAGTTTGTCTGGTGGTAATCGGCGTGGACGTGCCGAAGTTGGTTGACCTTTTGTGATGATCCGGTGTACTACAGAATGTTGGACAGTGTTTTCACTGTAGTCTGGTTTCGTTATTTTGGGAAATTTAGATAGAATGGTGGCGAATATGTCGTTTCCTGGGGTGTCAATTTTAATACTATGTATGTGGTAGTCCGACTGAATTCCCTGGATTTGAAGGTTCGTGCAGGAATCAATAAGTTTTCTTCTCTTAACGTCAACTAGTAGGTTGTAGAAACTTAGAAAATCTGCACCTAGTATAGGGTGACGGACATCCGCAATAATAAATACCCAGGTTAAATTACGTCTAATTCCCAAGTCTAATGTTAGAAATTGTTCACCAAATGTCTTTATTTCGGTTTTATTAGCTGCCCTTAGGGTATATTTTCCACTCTTAGCAATAGGTTTATTGGCTAAGGTAACTGGGATGACACTAACTTCAGCTCCAGTATCTACTAAGAATTTGTAGCCTGAAGTTTTATCAAGAACGTGGAAAAGACGAGTAGGCGCACGACCAGAAACATTTGTCGCTACCATGGTTTGGTTGACACGTTTTGGTGAGGAAAATGACTTGAAAAATTTACAAGACGTAACACATTTCCTAGCTTTGTCACCATATTTTTTATGGTACCAACATATGTTGTCGTCGTTTTTGTTTCCTTTTGAGTTATCTCGATTCTTACTCCCTCGAGAACAAGAACGAGGTCTTGTAGATGTGAAATTGGAGATTAATAATTGTAGTGCATCCAGTTTATTTTCAAGACTAGCGACAGTTCGTTCATGATGTGCTCGCAGTTCGCCTAGCTCAGCAGTTAACGATGCCATGGTGGGAGTTTGCTTATCGTTCGAAGTTTCTAATATTGCCTGTACGTAAGGTGTTGTACAGGGTGTAACTTCTAAAATTTTATCGGCCATGTTAGCAAGACTCTCTAAATCTGATGTTTGGCTAGAGGCACAAAGAATTTGCCTAACTACTGTTGGCAAACGTTGTAGCCAAATCTCCTTGAGGAAGGCGTCATCAAATTTATATGGGCCAGCTAATTGTCTCATGTGTCGTAATAATTGAGACGGTGATTTGTCGCCTAGCTCACAATGGTGCAGTAATTGCTGTAATCTCTTTTCATCAGATAATGAGGTACGTTGAATAATTGCCTGCTTCAATTGATCATATGGATTCGGTGCAGGAATATTATCTATCAAATCTGACACCTCAGATGCAACTTCAGTGGGTAGTAATCCAAGCACAAAAGAGTATTTAGATGCCTGTGAGCGTATGTTGCGACGCTGAAATTGTACTTCTACTTGCGCAAACCAAATGCGAGGATTTAATCGGCTGAATGGGGGCACATTTATCAAATTTAGAGCGTGTAGCTCTGCTGAAATGTTATCCTGGCTAATGCCTTCAGTTTCGGATGAGTACATTACAAATATACGAAAATTTAAATACTACCAAGGGTAAAATAACGCCGTAATGTCTGTAAGTGAACTCAAAAGTAGTTGAGAGAGAGAAAAAAAATTTTACGGGCTCACCAAATTTGTGGTGGTCCCCAAACAAAAGGAGCTTACACAAGATATATTGATACACTAGGTTAACAATGATATACCAAAACAAATTAATGGTTAAGAAACCTAGATGTCTGTCCGTTAGTAAAAACAAAGGTAATAAAATACCGTTAGCAATACAAAAGGTATATTAAACAAACAGACGCTAACAGTTACTATAGAATGAATGTTACTTGTTAACTGCCTCGTGAGGACAACGACCACAAACTGAGTTCACTTGGTTGACAGGTGTTCCCCTGCAAGTGACTGCACCAAAGACGTAATGAGGAAGACGGAGTCCAATAGTATTATACAATAGTAAACCGCGCCAAAAGTCCAACGTTGAGTCGGAAGGCCTATAATGATGTTATAATACTATTATAGTCTTCAATCAAAACGGTGGCCAATAAAACAGAAGAACAACGGCGTAGATAGTGTTCTATATTTTAAACAACCCGGTAGTAGAAGTGTATATCATTCATCGAAACAAAAATTATCGTCTTTTTAACAAGTGATACAGCAAAACAACAGATATTGAATAAAAATGTGGTTACAAATAAAGTGTGACAAATTAGAGAAAAAATGTGGTTTCTATTTTTGTTGTTACAAAAATCACTGAATATATGTCACCATAAGCTAAAAGACCGGCGAATTTTTCGCTTGATCTCAAAGTATTCCACTTTTGGTTTACATATTGCTCTGAAGTATTCTATGTCGAGTAATTAGTCATCAGTCCGACAACGTTTTGTCGTCTGTTCGCACAGGCTTTACACCTGAAATGGATCAAAGTAATTTCTTATAATGATGTGTTCAAAAGTATTATAATTGGTGGATGAAAACGAAGTTTATCGAGATGAGATGAATCAAAAATTGAACTTTTGACGACGTAAAGCTTTCATGTGGTTACAGATCAATCTAGGTGAAATGTTAAGGATTGCAGATTTCCCGTCCATTAACATTAAGCACCGTCCTGATGAAAAACAAGTAGAAGAAATTATGAAAGATCTAACTGCATCGTCAGACCAATCCCTGAAAACTTTTGTTGGGATTACGTAAATCCTCTCTCTACGCGTGTCGACCGTACTAGGAAGAACAGTTTGGCTACGTAAATATAGAAATAGTAGTACTGAATCTAATATACAAACATTTGATTCTTGAAACTATTTTATCAATACATCAATGATCAGTAGCCGGTCAAATTTAATAAATAAGTGAAATCGTGCATTAAGTTGAAGGTATTATACTGTAATAAAAATTAAGCTCCCACCAAGACTTAAAGAAATTATTATTTAACTTAAAGACTACAGTGACTAAGAAAATGATGATGTGGGATAAAGAGCGGTAACTGGTTAGTGATAAAAAACAAACAAACCGTTGCGCTTATAAGTATTGCGAACAAGAGGAAAAACGTGAAGCCGTGAATCTGGTGCAGATAACTCCCGTACTCACGTACATTATTCTTTCAGACGCTGAATGCTGGAAAATATGAGAATTGTAAAGAATAGGGATGAATTCGTGGGATTCCAAGAATAACAATGAAAAAATTATGATTTTCCATGGAAAGATAGTACAAATCGAGATTTTTTAATTTTGTGAAGCAATCTGAATGTCCCTAGGGTGGTAACATGCTTCGTTGAAGAACCAAATAGATTTAAGAGAAGGTCTCCTGAATATACGCGCGAAGTTTATTATTCGATATAATTAAAAGGTGAGGCAACTTTGGAGCTACACCTTGTAACTCTAACTCTTGAAATATAGCTGATACCAGGTTGTTTAGAAGTTCGGAATTGTAACCTCAATGTCTAATCCTAGCTCTTAACCCGATCTCCAAACCCTTAACCATTCTCCTTTGCTGTAGAAAATAACTTGCATGCAAAGGTTCATTATGAATGTCAAAACTCCTACCCCCATGTCATTTTATCACGTTTTTATTGCACACTGTTTCATCACCACAATACTGTTTTCTGATTAGCTAGTATCCCAATCAAGGCTAATTGCGATTTCCAAGATCACCCATACAGTCTGCTTCTGCCCAACTAATTAAACTGAGATCTGTCCCCTTAACTTCAACTAAACGTCCCTGAGAATAGAGTTTAACTTTCGTTAGGTACCATTAATTTCAAATTCATTACCGAATACCTGTCATTTGGTTTTTAATCACGTAGATCTATTCAAACTCTAAAAACTGGTTGTGTGGAATAAATTTCTTTGCTATAAAGTTGTTATGGAAACAAATATTTAAAAAGATCTCATAATTTCCTAACGTAATAAGTACAGAATAAAATAGTCATAAAACAGTGTACTAGGTTATAATTTATTGTCACTTGTTTACAAGTGTCCATGAATTTAATGAAACTTCAAATAAAGAAACATTAAAACACCGAAACGTGGATGCATATTTCAAATAAGAGAAATCGTATTTAGAAATGAAAACGTTTGTCATAAGAGCTATAACGTCTTGAATGAACATCGTTATGGTTATATGTAGTATTGTTATTGACATTTGTTGGCTGAGTTATTGAGGCTGGCGATGTTCCATTTGATCCAATATGCAATGACTTATGTGGCGTATTACACAAAATACCGTTACTATTACCACCATTTGAAATCTGATCAACTGTGTTAAAACGTTCATGAAGTTTACGACGTATCCTCGCTCTAGTTAGATTATCCATCTCATCAAAATTTATTGTTTCTTTATCAAGTTTAGCTAAAAATTCTTCCGACGCTGCATTTGAAGAAATATCTGAAAATGTGATTATTGTATGAATACCACGTGGACGTGTATTTGTTTCTTGATTTATCATCGATATTAACTCTGTATTGCATGCTCGTGTACGGCACTGCTTATTCGGTAGTTGAATCTGTTGAACAGTTAAATTACATTGATCGTTTGGGTCCGTTAAGCTTATATCTGTTTGACAAGCTGTTGAATTTATGCATGGTCTATATTTAGTCAATAAAATTAGAGAAAAGATGATAACATGAGATGCGTAGAATCTTTAATGGTTTACTATCAAATAACCTAAAACTAGAGTCTTTTAATTCATTATTAAGTTAACTATGTTCTAAAATCTTATTTATATTGGACAACAGTTGAATCGCTTTCCCGTGGAATAAATCAAGCTAACTTCCGATTATGCTAAAAGTGTTAGCGTTTGTTCACTTATTATCACAGTAATTTCATATAGATTTAGTGATGAATTTTATTGAGTGTCATTGTCTTGTTAATTGATTATAAACAATATAGAACTTCAAATTCATTGGAATACACTTTAAAAACTCAGTAAATTTTTGTTTTTTAGAGACCCAGCGGATTGTTCAACTGTGTGTTCCTCTTTTTCAAGCTCCATAATCTGTTATTATTCCTAAAAATTTTCAGGAAGCTTCCTTAGATCTACTAATTGGTCATGACAAATTGAAGTAGCGTATAACTTCATTATGTTTCCTATAGACCTCGCTACATTGTAACATTTATTATTTACATTATAGACTGACTAATTTGTATTACTTGAATTCAAGTGGTTATTGAGTTGTTTGAAATCTTAATATTTAAATATCACTGATTACAGCTGGTGAGAGTTGAATGAAATAAAATGAGTTCATGAGCATATATTTAAGGAACCCTTCGATATATTCGTCAAAACCATCAGATCTGATGCACCAGAGGTCTCTTCATGGTGAGGTCCCTATAGTGCACTTATGATAAGTGAGTAAATATGATGAAACAATTATTTAGGGCTTCGTGCAATTCAATGATTTCTCAGTTATAGTCAATCAGTGACAGAGTTTATTTTGACACTTCTTTTTTTTAAAAAATAAATTGAATTCATTTGAAGTGAAAACATCTTCCATGTTCAACGTAGCAGTGTGGTATGAAGTCCTTTAAAAGACTAGTTAAAAAAGGTACTATCAAAGTTTTACATGGTGAAAATGTTCAAATTTAAATTAAAACCTATATATCATTCTATTTAATGCGATTATTGAACACGTTTTCCTCTTCATACTGATTGTCAAGTATAAGCCGAAGCCATGTCTACTCATAAATTATGATAAATGTATATGGGTCAGGTAAACTATTCAGACAAATAAACGAACTAAAAGATTACCTAAATTGGACCATACTTCAAGTTGTAAATTTTTAATTAAGTAGTTTCGCGAATCAAGTTATTGATTGAAAAAAAATAGAGAATAATCAGTAAAGAAGTAAAAACTTACCTGTTAGCCAGTTCTATGGATGACGATGTATTAGAACAGGTCGAAGATGAACTACATTCTAGAGGCATAGATAAATCTTCATAATTTTCGTCATCATCTTCATCATCATCGTCAGCGTGATGATGTATATTATTCATTGCTGATTCATTTGTTAAATAGCCTAGATTTACAGCTCCAGTTCGGAAATATATTTCCAATTTAATTGCATCAAATTTATCTGTAATTAATTCTAAATGATTTAATTCAGTAATTTTTTCATATAGATTTGATCGAATTAACAATAATTCCATATCTTGATTATCTAATGAATTGGCAATATTTTTAAATAGACTTTCAGCAATTTCAATATTTTGTTCTTGATCTGGTTGATTTTGTATATGATGCATATTACGTTCACCAACAAATTGATGCAGTTCGCTAATCAATTCTTGTTCTTGTCGTTGAATCTTAAAATTAAAAAGAAATTTGACAAAGAAAGAAATAAACTAATTCATGAGTTTGTTTTTCTTTCACTTCATCTAGAAGATGATAATTTGTTGAAATGATTCAGAAAAAATATTTAAAAGAGTATTTAAACAGATATCTATGAAATAATTGACTTAATTTTGCAAATACAAAATCTTTTTGGTGTATATATCTCATTATGAATGTCAATTGAATAGTAGTTTTGATAATAGTAAGATTATAAATTGTGACTTGAGTGCCCTGTTAATGTATAACGTAACGATACTGTCAATTAGAGAGCAGTGAATTATCGATCGGACCAACGATGCATAAAACCCGTGTGAGCAGTCTAGAGTGCTTATCGGTCCCGCTTCCTGCCTAGCCCAGCCAGTTAAGTCCAGAACACCAATCTCAGCCTCTGTGATATGAATCATTTATTCCAAATATACTGGGTTTATATACCAACCAGACAGATCACATCGTACCAGAAAATAGGAAATAACATTTGTACAAGATTTGGCCAAATGTGGCTGTGAATGAGAGAGATAGTAATTGATAGACAGGGCATAACTCCAAAATGGTAAATCGTATAATAATAATTCATAAGTCAAATTAAAGCTTATGATAAGAGGGACATGAATATGAATAGTTTAGTTATTTAACAATTATATGATAAAAATATGCGCATAGTATTGGTCCATAAATGGATCTCAAAATTTACCATTCATTATTCTTATCGGGATATAACACTAAGATATGTGTTTAGTTTTATTTAAGATCTTTAGTTGTTATTAACTGTTATTCTAATGAATATTGTTTTCTTCGGATCTCGCAAGATGAGATTGTAGATGCGCGCTGTTGAGGAGTCCCGTACTAGAACAAAACGGCCGTTCATTACATCCATATTTTTCATGGTAATCTAGCTTCAATTGACTTATGAATTCAACTATTAAATTGTAACATTTAACAATAGTTCCTAGGCTTTCAATGAAATGAATAAAAATAAATGGTAGTTGTCAATCAACTATACCTATGATATCATTTATTGAAATAAAGTATGATCCTGTTACATAGATATATAGTAATCATTTAGAAGTTAGCTGTGAGTGAAAATGAAGGTGGTCGTTAAGTATTAGAATGAATTATAAGTGTTTATATTAAACATACAACACAAATAAATCTAATCATTTTTTTCGTCAAAGTTAACACTTTAAATAATAAATAACTTTAGCCATAGTTAATAATTAGCATGTATGATCTGTTTCTTTTACTATAATTCAATTGGTAATGATATCTTTAGAATTTATATTTATATACACGCCTACAAATGCCCTGGTACAGTCAAGGGCGGGGATAGTCAGCTCTCCCTCTCGAAATAATCTCACATGACCACTGGATTACAGCCACTGACAGAGAAGTCCAACTCACTGACTTCTCGAGGCAGGGGTGTTATGTACGGGACTAAGAGGACGAAAAGTGAATGTCCAATGCTTTAACCCGGGTTGATGGATATGGAGGAACCACTTAGAGGAGTTGGGAAACCCTGATTCCAGACCAATAGTGCACATGGGCTCCACGATCCTGAGAAAACAAATGGAGTATGAACCAATTATTGGTCATCGTCTACCATAGGACCACATCTTCTAATGTTGCTTCATTGCTTTGTGGATCAGATCTTTAGATCGAATTCTCCGGATGTGGTGCTCTAATAAAACCACTTACTTCAGTTTGGGCACCCGAGCAGTATCACAGCTCACACACCAACCATTTGATTGGTGTGGCACATATGTATTCGGTTCCCCTTTGTAACAATATTTATATGTTCACTATATATTCATTTATCAATCTAATCAGATATTATGTAAAGTTAATACTTTAAATAACTAGTTTTCTTGTTATTATTGTATAAAATATAGTGATATACATTTACAATTAACTAATTAGCTGATGTCAGATAAAACAAAATGAACATTTCGTTTCATATTGATTATGAAGATTTATTTATAAATTGTTGATTAATTATACACTAATATAAATTGTATTTAAATTTAGCTCTTCTATTTTTATATTCATATTTAAATATTTAAAGTAGAATGTAAATATAACATCAAAGTATTGTGTATTGTCTAATATATAAATAACAAATTCATTAGATGATAACAATAACACATTGATTCATTCATTCAAAACAATAGAATAAGATTATTATAAATATAAAGAAGTAAGATGAAAAGAATTTATGTTCCATTTAAACAAAACACAATAAAAATGGAAAGTTTTCATAGTTCATTGGTATTATTGACAGTTGGTGATTTATTTATCGGCCGTTAACATCAAACATTTGATTAATTAAATAAATAAAGAACTGAAACAATGATATTGAAATATATTGAATTTTCTAAATAATTATACTGGAATTATTTTCTAATAATTTGTACTTCTTTAATGTTTATGATCAGGTTTCTTAGTGATTGGGAATAAATACCAACTCTGTAATACAAGTACATCAAGCTAATAAGTTTTATTTAGGATAAGAAGTAGGTTATAGATTTCACAGCTAACCATGGTAAAAATGTACTAGAATTGATATTGAGATCCTATTAGTTTAGATGAAGTTTTATTCTCTGAGCTGAATGGTTTGATCATGGTGTTTTCATTGTTCTTCTAAACAATATCAACAGTACAAACTTCAGGTAGACGTGAATTGTATCAATGGGAGATACAATCAAAATAAAGAAGTAGACAATGACAGGTTAAAGGTTAACAATAACCAATCAAGATCGAGGTCTACAGGACATGCTGTGAGTCATATGTGGAGAAAATAAAACATTTCATTTCTAACTGAAGTTTGTGCTGATAATGCTGTTCAATAGAACAATGAAACCTCCACGACCAAATCATCCAGGTCACAGAACAAAACTTCGCCTAAACAGTGCACCTGAGCTACAAATCTTCTCGGCCATCTCAGGATCATATCTGTCTTGTTCCGATAAAAATTGTTTTTTTCAAAATCCTAGTTAACATTATTTTGTGAAGACATATTTCATTACTTCGTTACTTTTAGCTTCATTTACCATACGGTTGATCTTTTTATGTACAAGACATACTATTAAATATTAGTCAGTAATCTGAATTATATTTAATCATTTATTGGTCTTTTGTACTGAATAGAGTGACCTCTTCCTTAGGTTTACCTGTGGCCTGATGATGGTTTACGGCTGCGTCTCACTTTGTTTATTAAGCTCTTCGTTTCGCATACGCCAAACTAGGAAAATTATTCTTGTAATTCCGTCTCAGAGTTGTCTTACCAATCACCGTTACTCACTTAGTAATTTAAAACAAAGACGATAAAAAGAACAACTTTTCAACTACTAGCTGAGCATTTTATGAAAATAATTATCAATTTATAATAGAACAATGGGAAAACGGAGTTTATCTGCAAAGTGTGTGTCACACGTGGGGTATTTTAGCTTTCGGACAGATAAATTCATTTATTCATATTGAGTTACATTTTGACCTTGTCAATTATTCGCTTATCATCAGCCCTGACTGTTTTTATATGAGTGTATGCGTGAATCGCTTACTCTATTTGTCACATGTATTTGGCTTATTTTTATCTAGCTATAAATATTGAGCCACGTTTGATCAAAGGGAGCTGGTATGTTTATCGTCTCCAGTTCGCTTTTCCGCTTCATTTCTCTGACTTTCTCTGAATCAATCATCAGTGTATGAAATATGCGTATCCAAAATTCATTCTCGTATTTGACTTATTCAGTTAATTTCTAGAACTAATCAAGTCAATAATTACATACGAAAGTAGCCGAATTTTATATTTTGTTCTCATAATCAGAGTCAGATCCTTAGGCCACAAAGTCTGAACCAGGTTTCTAAATGAAATTTAGTGAAATGAAATGTTGTCTGAATAAAGAAAACCTTTCAAATTATTATTTTAATCTAAAACAAATAATAAATTCTGATGTAATGATAGAAATCCCACTGAATGTATCTAATATGTCTTACTGTCTATTTTCATTACCATCTATATTTTAATCTAACAGGTTTATCATACAATTATCAAGCTGAATGAATAGTTATGTTAATTCATTCGTGCTGAAATGGTATCTCAACACTTGTTGATTACTGCATTTGATCCAATGTCGTAGAGATTAGTTACAGTTAAAGTGATTTATTAGTAACACTTCTCTATTGTTATATAGTGTGTTTTTCTAAACTCTCATTTTCGACATAGTTTTAACTTACTGTTACGCTTTCTTGCCGGGGAGTTTACTGAAGCATAAAAGCTAATTGATAATCATTATATTCATTATTAAAGATCAGTACGTATAAGGTGTATGTCAATAAAATGTCAGCAAACGAGAAATATCTTAGAATAAATAAATTATTCAGATTGATCAGTGAACATAGACTGACAGGTACAGCTTACTAACTACTAGACATAAGATTCCCCTTCTAATTTTGATTTTTACACTGAACTCACTGAGTGTAGACTATTTTATAGTTGTGTTGAATAAAGTACTGTCTAATTTATAATGCGATTCTTTATATTTAGTCACAAATCGTGTACCTGGTATAACTTGATCCAGTTTATGTATATCGTATCAATTAAGTATCCAGTTTAGTGGTAGTATAATCTCAGTCCCCATTCTTATTATCCTATTATTAGTAGCATAACGGGCAGAAATAGAAAATAATTTATATCCTCCGATTATATCATCTACATTAAGAATATTTATTATTTGACTGAATAATTCAAATGAAAATTACCGAATTTAAATGACTACTGACTGAAGAGCAATAACTTAGGTTTGTGAAAGTAGAAAGTATGCTAAGTTCTCACACAAAAATGTAGATTTGAAAACTGAGGATAAAAGTTTATCTCCGTTTACTAAGCTGAATGAAAATAATAGTAATAAGACTATAATTTGTACTTATATTTATACTTTTGATTTTGTTGTGCCCTCTGAGTTTCGTGGTTTGATCG